AGACACTGAGGCTTCTTTTCAGGTGGAAGAACAGCAACCTTTATTTTTTTTCCTGAGCTAAAGCCTTTTATACCTCTACTGTTTCTGTGGAAAACCACAACCAGAAAGAACACAGACATCCTTGTCAATTACAGACCACAAGGAAGTTCAGCTGTCGGTCAGGGGGAGTGAGGGCAGCTGGATCACAACAATCCTGAGTGAGGTAACCCAAACCTAGAAAGATAAACATGGTATGTACCCACTTGTAAGTGGATATTAGCTGTAAAGTAAAGGATGCTCATATTACAATCCACAGTCCCAGAGAAGCTAAGTAACAAAGAGGGTTCAAGATGGGGGGTGCATGGACCTCCCTGGGAAGGAATAGATTTTGCAGGTGGTTGTGGGTTTTTGTTTTGTTTTTGTTTGCTTGTTTTTGAAGACAGGGTTTCTCAGTAGCTAAGGAGATAGCCCTGGAACTCACTCTGTAGACCATGCTGGCCTCAAACTCCTTTGTCTCCTGAGTTATGGGATTAAAGGCATGAGCCACCACCACCCAGCTGAAGGTGGACTTGGATGTGTGGGAATGGGGACAGCAGAAGGATTCAGGCAAGGGAAATGGGGATAGAGGGAGATAATACTGGGAGAGATGACGGGAATTTGGGAGCACTTGAGAGGCAATGTAGAAACTTAGTTCAGTGGAAACTCCATAGAATCTATGAGAATGACCGTAGTGAACTCTATTAGTAATGAGATACATGGCGCCTGAACTGTCCATCTTCTATAATCAGGCAAGGAAGCAGTGAGACTGGGCCATCAATCCAGCCATGAAACCTTCGACCTACAATATGTCCAGCCTGCAAGGTGTGCTGGGGGAAAGGTGACACAGAACCTGTGGGAATGGCCAACCAATAATGACTGGTCCAGCTTGAGGTCCACGCCATGAGAGGGAGCCCAATCCTGACATTGCATGGATGGCCAGGAAAAGAGGCTTGTCAGCCCAGAGACCCAGAATAGAACCAAAAATGACTAGCAGAAGAAAAGTCAATGAAATGATTCCTAGTGGTGGTCTACTATACCTATAGACTGGTGCCTAGCCCAGTTATAGTTAGAAATACATCGTCCAGCAACTGACAGTCACAGATGCAGAGACCCACAGCCAAACACTAGGCTAAGCCAGGGGAACCCTGAAGAAGAGGAGGATGAAGGGTTCTAGGAGCCAAAGGGGTTGAGGTCACCATGAGAACATGGGCCATAGAATCAATTAAGCAGAACTCGTAGGGCCTCACAGAGACTGAAATGACAATCAAGGACCCTGTATGGTCTGAGTCTTCATATACATTATGGTTGCATAACTTGGTGTTCTTGTGGGGCCCCTAACAGTAGAAATGGGAGGTATCTCTGACTCTTTTGTTTGAGCTTGGGACCCTTTTCCTCCTACTGTGCCACTTCATCCAGCCTTAATATGAGAGTTTATGCCTAGTCTTATTGTGATTTGCTACGTTGTCCAGTTAATTTACCTGGAAGGCCTGTTCTTTCTTTTTTTAAGGGAAGCAGAAGAGTGGGTTTAGGGGAGAGGAGATGGGGGTTGGAGAAGAGGAGGCAGGAGAAATTGTGGTTGGGATGTAATGTATGTAAAGAATAAAAATGAAAATTTCAAAAGAGCACTTGCTGCTCTTGCAGAAGACTCATATTTGGCTCCCAGCACCTACATGGAGACTCAACCATCCATAATGCTAGTTCCAAGGAATCTGATGCCCTCTTCTGACCTCTGGTGGCACCAGGCATGTATGCACATGGTGCACAGACAAATATGCAAGCAAAGCTCTGTTGGCACAAAATTCTTTTAAAAGAAATAATGTTAATAGTCAAAGAAACTGGATCTTTCTTTCCTTACTGATGGGAAAATAAGATAACATTGCCATGCTGGAATACTTGGGTTATTTATTATAAAACTCAACATATACTCATTATATATCTTAGTAGTTGTGTAAGCATACACTGGAGAAATCAAAATGCATAATCATATAAAATAAAATATGTATGAATCCGGATAACAGTTTTGTTTGTAATGGAAATGATCCAAATACTGCAGTGAACAAGTGGTTAAGCTGTTATGAATCTATTCCATTATACAATGGAATAATACCCAGTAACAAAGAGGAGTGAATTATTTCTAAGTACATCTGCTTGTATGGCACAATGGAATAATTCCCAGCAATAAAGAGGAATGAATTATGTCTAGGTACATCTCCTTGTATGAATCCCAGAGGCATTGTACTTACTGAGGGAGTAGGAAAGCTGATCTCAAAATATGACACTGAAATGCTTCCATTTCCAGAATATTCTCAGAGTGACAAAACCAGAGTTGGAGAGCACACCAGTGGTCTCTAGTGGGCAGTCGTGGGGCAGAGTGGCATGAAGTAGGTTTTGTGATGATGAAGCAAGCAATTCTCTGTTTTAACCATAATGGCCTACATGGCTGTACATGTGGGACAACAGTGCATAATTAAAAGTGCAAGCAAATGAACACAAGTGAAAACTGTTGAGAACCGAGTAAGGGCTGCAATCCCACTCAAAATATTGTGCTACTAGCCGGGTGATGGTGGCGCACGCCTTTAATCCCAGCACTCGGGAGGCAGAGGCAGGCGTATCTCTGTGAGTTCGAGACCAGCCTGGTCTACGGAGCTAGTTCCAGGACAGGCTCCAAAGCCACAGAGAAACCCTGTCTCGAAAAACAAAAACAAAAAAAAAATATTGTGCTAGTACCAGCTTCTTCTTCTTCTTCTTCTTCTTCTTCTTCTTCTTCTTCTTCTTCTTCTTCTTCTTCTTCTTCTTCTTCTTCTTCTTCTTCTTCTTCTCCTCCTTCTCCTCCTTCTCCTCCTCCTCCTCCTCCTCTTCCACCTCTTCCACCCTCTTCTCCCCCCCCTCCACACACACACACACACACACACACACACACACACACACAGTACACCACCACTAGGGGAAGCTGGCAGAAGGGTTCATAGGACCCTGTGCGCTATAGGTACTAGGTATCTAGAGGTTCCACACTGACTGTGCATGTCAAGTTCAGTGTCCCCTTCATCCTAACTCAGTTCTGCCTTTTTACATCACCTTCCCTCTTGAAACACTCGTGCTTGGTGCTAAGAGCCTCGGGGTCTCTGTCCTTGGTACTGAACGCTTACCTCAGTTGCTTCACCATCCATCCAGAGCTCTGTTCTTGGTCCTGAATGCTCACCTGGTAATTTTACCTATCTCTGGGTGCACCAGCTAATCTCTCCCTGTTCCTTCCCCTCCAGCCCTCAATATTCTGCTAGCCCACACCTCTAAGCTCCCAGTTGACACCCTCTGTCTGATAATGCAGTCACTAGCCTCTGCATCACCCAAGCCTGCCCCTCTCTTTCCTACACCTGTCAGTTACTCCCATCTCACAGACTTAGGCCCTCTGCTCTTTGACTCTTCTTTGAAGACATTGCATCACCTGCTAGGCAAACTCTCCTCTATTACATCCAGGATCTCAGTATGCTCAAGTATCCAATGTTTAGAAAAAAATGTAAACAAGAGTTGATGCTGAATCCACACACACTCCATCTGAACTGCTAGAAGAAAAGCTTCACCATGCTGGGCTGACAGACATGCCTCACCATAAGAAACTACATCTGTGGTGTAGTCTGTCAGTGGGTAGAGGCTCCATGGAGAAATATCATTGTGAGGTTACTCCCTGGGTCTTTACATCCACCTATGATGCTCCTATAAATGTGTCCTCTCTGTGGAAATAAACATCACTAGTTCAAGGCAGGCTTGAGCCTGAGGGTGGAGAGAGAGATCTGATTTGAATGTCTGGAATAAATGGAGATGGTGATGCTGTGGCTAACCCTGTGGGGCCCCCTGCAAAGAGCATCAAGGATGGAGATGCTGATGCTGGGATTACCCTGTGAGGTCACCTACAAAGGGCATCAAGGATGGAGATTCTGATGCTGGGATTATCTTGTGAGGTCACCTGCAAATGGTATCAAAGATGGAGATGCTGATGCTGGAATTACCCTGTGAGATCACTTGTAAAAAACATCAAGGATGGAGATGGTGATGCTGTGGCTAAGCTTGTGAGGTCCCCTGCAAAGAGAATTAAGGAAGAAACTGGCAAGCAGTCAACAAATCAGCCATGTTCTGAGCTGAGGATGTCCAGTGGATGCCCAGATGATATGATATCTCCTCATCACTGGCCCCACACCTGTCTCTGGATATCTGTCTTTCTTCCCAAGGTGGACGCAGCCAGTTTCTGAGTGAACAAAGATGGACCCTCAGTTAACACTATGCACGGAAGACCCCAAGAAATACAGAATATTTCATGGCACTCACTGCCTCTTTCTCTACTGATGATCTGAAAAATAAAAGAGACACTGAGCTTCACTTGCAAGCTATTTTCAGTCCAGCCAAGCACATGCTGAACTCAGACACACGCTCTCTGGTCATGGGGACATAAGGAGACCTCAAGATCATGGTGAGCTAAAAGGATCAGACAAGGTAAAAGAATGCTGTGTGTTTGGAAGAGTGGGCAGCGAAGATGCTCAGACAGAAACCAAATCCTCTGGGATTGTTCTAGAAGAGAGAAAATGGCCCAGGATCCAAGTCTATGAGGGACATGTTCCTCAGGGAACCTCTTCTCTATAGGAAGGAGGTGATTATTGCCATTGAAGACGATGACCTGAGATATTTTTCATGTCACAGTGATCAAGGGGCTAGGCTTGTGTTCAAGAACCTTCTAGAGGATTCTTACCCTTTGTAGCTGACATGAGAGCAGAATCCAAGAAATCTGGAGAAAGGAAAGGGGGTACCTCCAACATGGGGCCCAGGGAAGTCTTGTTCCCTTTTTGGGATTTGGTGGGGGATGTTTGAGACTGTCTCATTATGTAGCCCTGGCTGTTCTGGAACTCACTCTGTAGACTAAGCTGGCCTCAGACCCACAGAGCCTCACCTGCCTCTGCCTCTCCAGCACTAGGATTAAATGTGTGTGCCATTACTGCCAGCCTCGTTTCCTCTTTAATGCTGAGGACTCCACAGGAGTCTGATACCTGAGACTCACAGATAATCAAGATCCTCCCTTGAAATATGGGAATGGTGAAATCCAGAATCCAAGTACTGCTGCCTCCATGCAGAGTCAATTCAGAGTATGGTGTGTGCCTTGTCATGTCTGCAGGGCCGAGTCCCTCCCAGGTAATTCCTGGGATGCTTCGCTACATAGCTCTTGGGTAGCTCATTCTAAATTCCCTTCATGGATCTTCTGAAGCCTGTTCACCCAGAAGACAGCACAGAGCATGCTCAGAAGCAGTGGTAGCTTCAGGAAGACCAGGACCTGGAAGTGGATGCTGCTGAGCAGGGACCTGTGGGCACATGAGGATGGACAATGAGTTCAAGGGGAGGTTCCAGGGCCCATCCGTCTCCTCCCACATTTCCTAATGCCTTGCCTCAGAATCCTGAATGATCCAGAATCAAACTAGGAAATGATTCAAGGACGTCTGCTCTTGTGGTCCCACCACCCTGTCTCTTGTTAAGGAGAGGTGATTGGTGAAGAGAGGAAAGGGTTCTAGGTAGACACAATTTTCTAGACACATGGCCCAGAGATACCCACTGTCTCCCAGGTATTAATTGAGTTTATTGGTGGTAGGGCAGAGTTTGCATAGCACAGGCTGGCTTCCTGACATGGTTACGACTTTGAACCTCTGTGTCTTTTGTGGTTGATTCTCTGGTGCACATGGCAGATGTATACTACAGTACCCAATCTGGGGATCGAACTCTGGGCTTTGTTCATGTTAGGCAAGCACTCTAGCAACTAAACTACGTCCCCAGCCTTCAGTTGACATCTTGAAACTAGTTCTCCTGAATTTCCCTCCCCATTTGAGGCCTAGAGGCACTGTCTTAGTCAGGGTTTCTATTACTGCAATGAAACACCATGGTCAAAAAGCAAGTTGGGGAGGAAAGGGTTTATTCTGCTTACTCTTCAGCATTGCTATTTATCACCACAGGAAGTCAGGGCAAGACCTCAAGCAGGGCAGGAACCTGCAGGCAGGAGCTGATGCAGAGACCACATGGTGTAGAAGGTCATTCTGTCTTTGTGTTGCTTTCATTGGTTAATAAATAAACTGCTTTGGGCCTGTTAATAGGGCAGAACTTAGGTAGGCAAGGGGATGGAACTGAATGTTGGGGGAAAGGAGGCAGAGTCAGAGAGAGATGCCATGGATCCCGCTGAGATAGACGCTGGGAATTTTATCCACTAAGCCACTGCCACATGGCAATACAGAGATGAATAGAAATGGGTTAAATTAAGAGTTAGCCAATAAGACGTTAGAGCTAATGGGCAAAGCAGTGATTTAATAAATACAGTTTTTATGTGATTATTTTGGTTCCGGGCAGCTGGGATGAGCAAGCAGCCACCCCCTACAACAACCATGGAGGAGTGCTGCTTACTGGCTTGCTCCCCATGGTCTGCTCATCTGGCTTTCTTACAGAAGGCAGGACCACCAGTCCAAGGGTGGCATCACCCACAATGGTCTGGTCCCTTCCCCATCAATTACTAATTAAGAAATTTCCTAGAGTCAGATCTTATGGGGGCATTTCTCAGCCGAAGTTCCCTCCTTTCAGATGACACACAGACTAGCTAGCACAGGCATCATAGCCTTTTCTGAGTTCGTCTGGCAGAGAAGGAAGAACAAGCGCAAACTTCAGCCCGGAGCTGAGCCTGCTCCTCATGAGCAGCTCCTGGGAGCAAGAACCCCAGCTGAACAAAGACCTTTGCATTTATCTGTTTATTGTGGGGCTCAGAGATGGAACAAAGGTTGTTAGACCTAGTGGCAGGCACTCAGTGGGTACACTGAATCACCTCCCTGGCCTTCAACGATGACTTTTGAAAGAGGCACAGAGCTAGGACTCCAAGTCTAGAGTCCGGTGGGGAGGGATAGAAAAGAGAGGTGGGAATGGGGAGGATCTGTGACTCTATGAAAACAGACTCCATTCTGAGCCTGTGTCCCTCCAGCCCCTCCGCCATACTTGGCATCCACATGTAGGCTTGGAGAATTTGAAAGCGGAGATCAGAGGGAAGGAAATACCACTTAATAGTAAGGTCCCCTCAACGTGGGTGACACTGCCAGCCCCCAGAATCCTAAGCGCCTGACTCTCTCCAGGCCTTGGATCCTTACCATACTTGGAGGAGGAACACCTCAATGAAGTTAACCCTCAGGTGTTCAGCATTCGCTAGTGGGAGGATGGGAGTTGTAGCTGGGAGTGTGGTCTCCACGGTAGTTGGGGCTGTTGGAGATAAAGATGGACATTAGTTCATCGAGTGGCTCCAAGCCTGTGCTAAATCAGTATCTCTGTGGATCTGTCCGAGGCAAACCTCAGCCACACCATGGGTTTGTCTCTCAGGGGCTGAAGGAGCATTCCTACCAAAACACTGGCCAATGTCTCATCTCAAACTTTCTTCCCATCCCCCTCTCACTCTGCCTGAGGGAGGGCAGACGGGTTTTCCAGGGGTCCTCCCTGCTTGGCAAGATGCCCATGAGAGGGAGTGTGAAAGAAAACAGCTCAGCTTGTGGCCCAAAAATTCTCCCAGAGACCATGGAAGGTTCTCAAGCACCCTTCATACCGGAACAATTAAAGATCATTTTAACTCACCAGGCAGTAGTGGCGTATGTCTTTAAGCCCAGTACTTGGGAGGCAGAGGCAGGAGGATCTCAGTGAGTTCAAGGCCAGCCTGGTCTACAAAGCAAGTTCCAGGACAGCCAGGACTGTTACACAGAGAAATCCTGTCATGAAACAACAACAATAATAATAATAAATGAATAAATTTTACCACTAAGGAGGAGTTAGATCCTCCCTTGGCTCCTCCTAGAGACATCAGGTGTCGGGTTGTTTGTGTGACCTATCCCTCAAAGCTCCTCCTATGGTGGATAGGTCAGTCATCTCTCCCCAACCCCACTGAGAGGACAACAGTCAGAGGTACCCTTCAAGACAATGCCCACCCATGTCCCACGCCCAGACACTTCCTCCAAGCTCTGTAGCTGGAGCCGGCATAGCCTTACCTGGGAAAACATGTACCTTTACAAGGACCGCGGGGTCACGTGACCATGAATCCCAGATAAAGAAAGTCTGAATCTTGCACCAGTAAGATCCAGCATCATCTAGGCTGAGGTCCTCCATGGTCACCGTCACGGTGAAGTTCTCAGCATGGTCTCTGATGGACACTCGGCCATTCTTCTTTTCCTCCCCGTTTCCTTGGATTTCCACAAGAGTTTCGCATTCCGTGTCGTGCGGTCCTCGACACCAGTATTTCACGTGGTCCTTGTATGACTCTCCATATTGACACTGCACATGGAGAGAGCCTCCCACGTAGCCAGACACTGAGCCAGGGCCCGTCAGAGAGAAGCAGCCTGGAAAACATAAGCCGGAGTCGAGGCCTCCTTCCCGACGGGCCTGGAAGGAACTTTTCCCGAGTCATGGGGAGATCCGGGAAGAGGACCCGGAGGGACATTTGTACGTGGGACCCAAGCCAAATTGACTGGAGTCTGTGGCAGAGACAAGGAGAAACCTGTCCCCAGTGGAGACTTGGCACCAAGTGACCACACAGGGACCCCGCCTTTAGGTTAAGTGAGGTCAAGGCTGGCACAAAGTTAGATCACACGCAAATCACTTCCTCTCGACTCAAGTTTCTGCATTCTGGAATCTTCTGCAAGTCCAACTTGCTCTTTAAAAATTCTACTTCTCGGGCAGGGAACCCTGACTGCTGTTTGGACTGGGGGGGGGGGGGGGGAAAAGGAAGGCGGGGAGGAGGCAGAAATTTTTAATAAAAAAATTCTACTTCTTAATTGCATGTGGAGGAGGCTTCCTCGCACTCAGGAGGCTAAGACAGGGGGATTTTGAGTTTGAGGACAGCCTCAACTACATAGTGAATTTCAAGCCAGCCTGAGCTACATAGCAGACCATCTCAAAACAAACAAACAAACAAACAAACAGAAAACCCTGATTTACTCCACTATTGCAAGCAGGCTGTTTGCCCTGCTATAAGTTACTTCATATTGTGTTAAATGCTTTTCCAGACTGTGTCTTGCCATGAGAGACTATATATATGCGTGTGTATATTGTTTTTTTGTTTTTTGTTTTTTTTTGAGACAGGGTTTCTCTGTGTAGTCCTTGTTGTCCTGAAACTCTTCTGTAGACCAGTCTGGCCTTAAACTCACAGAAATCCTCCTGTCTCTGCCTCACGAGTGCTGGAATTAAAGATGTGTGCCACCACTGCCCAGCAAGACTCTATTTTTTTTTAAAAAATATTTTTATAGCCAAGCAGTGGTGGCGCACACCTTTAATCCCAGCACTCAGGAGGCAGAGGCAAGTGGATCTCTGTGAGTTCAAGACCAGTCTGATCTATAAGAACAAGTTCTAGGACAGGCTCCAAAGCTGTAGAGAAACCCTGTTTCGAAGAAAAAAAATTATATTTTATGTGTGTGGTGTGCACACCCACAGGGGTCAGAAGAGAACCCCTAGAACTACAGTTACCGATGGTTGTGAGCCTCCATGTGGGTTCTAAGAACCAATCTGGGTCCTCTGTGAGAGCAATGAGTGCTCTTAATCATGGAGTCATCTACTCAGTCCCAAGGAACCACACTTTGCAGGCAGCTTTTGACTATTTGAGGGCGGAGGATAGCTGCACACATCAGAGTGGACACAGACGCCAGCATCAGCACCATCCACATGGCCTAGGCTGATAGTAGACATATTCCTAGAAGGAGAAAGAGACCACCCTATAGATTTATTGGGGTAAGCTGAGACTCTAGGGGTAGGGTACATGGGCAGTACAGAGAGAAAGAGAAAACATGTGAACATGAGAAGGCTGTGGAGTCCGCTTGTCCTGGAGTCTGATTGGAGTCTCTCACCAGCAGATGAGAACATTCTAGCATAATCAGTATTTGCCGTAAAGGCTGCTGTCATAGAGTTGACATTCATTTCACATATAGATATTTAGTGTTAAAACAGCAATGGTCCAAGCTTAAGATTTGAATATGCATGCCCTTGGGTAAGGCTTTTTTCCTTTCCTCACATTGCCCAAGAAAGTGATATCTTAGAGAAACTGTCTCAAAAACAAACAAACAAAAAAAAAAACAGAAAAACAAAAAAAGAAACAGACAAAGGCTTTTTTTTTTTTTTTTTTTTTTTTTTTTTTTTTTTTTTTTTTTTTTTTTTTTTTTTTTTTTTTTTTGCTAAGCCTTCTTCCCTTGAACTGCAAGCCCAAATAACCCTTGCTCCCCTAAGTTGCTTCTTGTTGGGTGGTGCTTTGTTACAGCAGCAACAAAACTAATACATTGTAGCAGCCCGACCAGCAGGAAGCCTCCTGAGCTGTGCTACATTGTAGCAGTGTGACCAGTGGGAAGCCTCCTGAGCTGTGATACATTGTAGCAGTGTGACCAGCGGGAAGCCTCCTGAGCTGTGATACATTGTAGCAGTGTGACCAGCGGGAAGCCTCCTGAGCTGTGAAACAACAGCCCGACCAGCAAGAAGCCTCCTGAGCTGTTTCTTGAACAGAACAAGCTTGTCTTGATTCTAGACGCTTCCATAGCCAGTGGTGAGCGCTTAGTGGAGGAGATGGACCTAAGCTTCATTTTCAGTTCTTGTAGTTGCTGAAGGGACACTAGGCCCCTCAAACATGGGACTCTGGCAGGCTCCCCTTTCTCCCCATTCCCTCTGCATTGCTAAAAACCGTTAGATTACATTCCTAAAGCTAGCTGTCAAGGTCTGTTCCCTTATTTGGCCACTTTCTCCTTCTGAGGCTGACTACCAAGATCCAGCAACCAAAAGCCCCCTTTTGCTCACCTAATTAACATGCCCAACTAAAATTAAACAGCTCATCCTAACACAAGGGTCCCCCTTTACAAACAGGCTTTGAGGCATGTGTCTCCTCTCTATCCAGAGGCAGCCTTTGGCTACTCATTCCCCCTTTCCCTTACCACATCTCTCCTTTACCACAGCAAACTAGTCTACTCTAACACAGACCTCCCCTTCTCCTCTTAGGAAGGACACCTGCAAGGTCATTTGCTGCTGTTTTTCCAACTGAGTCAGATGCAGTTTCTTTAACTTTTCTTCCCTGCTTAATAAAGGCTCTCTCTGTGAAACAGGTGTTGGGTGTAGTCAGTGTCTACTCTGGAATTCAGGAGGAAGTCCCCATGGTGCGGGTGGAGTCTCCTTTAATTGCCTCTAACTGTGTGTCTGTAAGATGGGGACATTGTTGCCTTCCCTGCCTAGGTCACAAGTGGCTCAAAGGCTAAAAGGGCGTTAACATCCACTGCGGTCTACAGCTGCTGAGAACACATGGTTCTCAACATTCTGCACTTCAATTATTTCTTCTTTTGTTTTTCCATTAAAAATTATTATTTCATTAAATATTAAAATTATCACGGGCATGGTGATGCATGCTCTTAATCTCAGCACTCAGGACACAGGGCAGGTGGATCTCTGTGAATTTGAGGCCAGCCTGGTCTACAGAGTGCGTTCCAGGACAGCGAAGGCTGTTGCACAGAGAAACCCTGTCTCAAACAAACAAGCAAACAAAACCCTAAAAACAAAAATTATTTTATTCAAATTATGCCTTCTAAAAGAGAAGGCTCTGTGTGAGTCATCTTTGAAAGGTCTCGTGCCGGTTCAAAACCACATTTGCTGAATGGAGCATCTCAGCTAGACTTGGCGTCATCTCAACTGGAAGACAGCGGATGACAGAATTGAACAATATCTTCGGTGTGGTGTGAGAGCCCGAGTCAGCCTAGGGCATGGCGACTCTGACTGCATGAGTCTGGGGAGCCAGACTGTTAGACAACTTTACCCAAATTCCAATCTGAGCATTCGTACAATATTCACGCCTCCGGATGGGGATTGCCTTCCTTCTCCAGGCTCCTCCCCGCCAGGCAGCGGGGTCATGGTGGTGCTCTCAGCACCACCATGCAGCCAATGGGGCACCTCAAGCCAGAGGCCAGGACTCTGGTAGCCACTGATCCAATCAAACCTAAGAACCTTCCAGAATTTGCAGGAGGAACCTACCTCTCTACTACATAGCAACAGAGCCAGGACAGAAATGCCTTTTGTGTTTTTGTTTTTGAGATAGGGTTTCACTATTGTAGCCAGATCAGCCCTGCCCTGGAGATCTTCTTGCCTCTCCCTCATGAGTGCTGGGATCAAGGCATGAGGCATTACACGCAGGGCGTTATTTTATTTAATAAGATGTCCTCGGGTTCATTCATGTTTTGATAAATATCAGGACTGATCTGAGCATTGCAAAATGTGTACAGACATCAAAATGGCATATTGTACCCCAGAAGTGTGTGCAATCATCTTGTCAATCAAAGAAAATTCTAGTAACACTGCAAACCTGGAAGCGTGGACCACACAATATACAATGAATAGAAGTTCTAGTTTCTGCCTGGAATACCAGGACCCAGAGCTGTATGACCAGAGGCCTAGGACAGAACAAAGCATGACTATAGGAAAAGTGTCAATGACGCCTAATGATATTCTGCTATGCTCATAGATTGGTACCTAACCCAGCTGTCGTTAGAGAGGATTCATCCAGCAACTGATGGAAACAGATGTAGAGACCCTCAATCAAACTTTAGACTAAACTCGGGGAATCTTGCTGAAGAGGGGGAGGAAGGATTGTAGGAGCCAGAGGGGTCAAGGACATCACAAGAAAACCCTCAGTATCAACTAACATGGGCTCATGGGGGTTCACAGAGGCTGAACCAACAACCAGGGAGCCTGCATGGGACTGACTTAGGCCCTCTGCATACATGTGACAGTTGTGTAGCTTGGTCTTCTTGTGGAACTCAATCAGTGGGAGCAGGGGCTTGTCTCTGACTCTTTTGCTGGCTTTTGAGACCCTATTCCTCATACTGGGTCCCCTTGTCCAGCCTTAATACAAAGGGAGGTACTTAATCTTACTGCAGCTTCATAGGCCATGTTCTGCTAATATCCATGGGAGGTCTGCCCCTTTCTGAATTGAAAAAGAAAAGCAGTGGATTAGGGGCTCAGAAGGGAGGTAGGGGGAGGGACTGGGTGGAGAGAAGGGAGAGGAAACTGTGGTCCAGATGTAAAATAAATAAATATGTTTAAAAAAAAAAAGAAGTTCTAGTTCCTCATTAAATTTTTGTTTCTTTGTTGGTGGGGGCATGGTGTTACTAGAGGTCAGAGGACGACTTTAGGGGTCAGTTCTCTCCTTCCATTTTGTGGACTTTAAGGATCAGACTCAAGGCTTGTATGGCAAGCGCTCTCACCCGTGAGCCGGCTCACTGGCACTAGCTTTAATCCTTTTGTTTTGGTTTTGTTGTTGCTGTTGTTGTTTGGTTTTGTTTTTCTTTATCTTTCTTTTCTTTCCTCCTCCTTTTTCTTTAGACAAGGTCTCCTTGGTAAGCCAAAGCTGGCCTCAACTTCACAGTCCTCCTGCCTCAGGCCTTTGAGCACTAGGACTACCAGGTGTGTGTCTCCCTGCCAGGCTATTTGTTAGTTTTATATCAGAAACCACTTCCTTTCTCTTGACCTTTCCCATACCTACTCTGGAATTGTCCCTACCATCTTTCTTTCTATCCTTTTCTCGTTCCTCATTCTCAGGCTTACAATATAAACCCTTGTGGGTCTCCTCTAGGAATACCAAATGACTGACTTCCCCCAGACCACGTTTACCACCTTGGGTGGGTGCGGTGGGTGGAGAGGAATTCTGTGGAAGAGGAGGGCAATATGCCAGAGCTGAGATGCAGGAGAGTGCACTTTATGTCAGTACAAATTAGCTCAATTTTAAATCTGGGTGTAAGCGCTTGCCTGCCCAGGTGCAAATGCACCCTTGGTGAAAAGGTGAATGGGCTGGATGGGGATGCCAGCCAGCTCCTGAAGGATGGGCAAAAAGAGGGTCTCATCTTCTGTTTAACCGCACTGAGCTACAGCTGTAAACAAGCTTACTCAGAGAAGCAGGAGTGGTCCTGCTTCGTGGTGTCGACATTCTCACCGTACCTGACTTTAAGCTGCTATTTACTGTAGAGATGGGAAAAGCCTGGAGTTGTCTCCTGGGATCTGGGACAAGGCAGCTCCAACCCATCAAAGTTTCTGAAATCTACTCCAGTAATTACAAAATTTCCACCAACTCTCCAAATTATATGAAGAATGTATCATCATCATCACCACCATCATCATCACCACCATCATCACCATCACCACCATCATCATCACCATCATCACCACCATCATCATCACCACCATCACCACCATCATCATCACCACCATCATCATCACCACCATCATCATCACCACCATCATCATCACCATCATCATCACCATCATCATCACCACCATCATCACCATCACCACCATCATCATCACCACCATCACCACCATCGTCATCATCACCACCATCATCACCATCACCACCATCACCATCATCATCACCACCATCGTCTTCACCATCCTCACCACTATCATTATCGCCATCATTGTCACCATCACCACCACCACCATCATCACCACCATCATCATCATCACCACCATCATCACCATTATCACCACCATCATCATCATCACCACCATCATCACCATTATCACCATCACCACCATCACCACCATCATCACCACCATCACCACCATCATCACCATCATCATCACCACCATCACCATCATCATCACCACCATCACCACCATCATCACCATCATCATCATCATCACCACCATCACCACCATCATCACCACCATCACCATCATCACCGCCATCATCACCACCATCACCATCATCACCGCCATCATCACCACCATCATCACCTTCAGTCAGAGCAGTTCAAGTGTCTTATAAGTGTGACACTATGAATCTAATAGTCTGACGTAGCCTAAAGATCTAGATTTTGTCTTGTTGTCCTATTGTTTTATACCAGGCTTTCATGGAGCTAAAGCTGGCATGTGAACTAGCTACTTAGCTAAGGGTGTCCTTAAACTTCTGATCCTCCTGCCTCTGTCTCCCAAGGGCTGGCAGGTGTGTGATACAACTTCTGGTGAAAGATCTAGATCACGATGATGGTGAGGGATCATGGAGATCACCTAGTCTCCTCTCCCTTTACTCACGAGAAGGCTATGTTTAGGGGCCATCAAGACGTCTCCGTGGTTTGCTGTGCAAACCTGGCCATCATAGTTAGGTCCCTAGAAACACCACAATGGTGGAAGAAGAGAACTGGCTCTACAAAACCAGCCTCTGACCTCGCTTTCCCACCCATAACCGCACACACATGAATGAACACATGTCATTAAAAAAGGAAAGAATGTAAGCAAAGAGGTCAAGACCATGATGTGAACACCCACTGAAACATTTACCTGAGCTAATGGGAGCTCACCAGCTCCAGCTGGACTGGGAAGAAACCAGCATAGAACCAAACTAGACCACCTGAATGTGGGTGACAGTTGTATGGCTGGGGTAGACTGAGGGGACACTGACAGTGGCACCAGGAATTATCCTTACTGCTTCTACTGGCTTTTGGGGATCCTATTCTCTTTGGATGGATACTTTGCTCAGCCTAGATATAGTGGGGAGGGCCTTGGACCTTCCCCAAAGCAATGTGCCTTCCCCTTCTGGGAAGTGGATGGGGGAGGGTAGAGTGGGGGAAGGTGAAGGGAATGGGAGGAGGGGAGGAAGTGAGAACTGGGATTAGTATGTAAAATGAAAAAAGATAGTTTATTTTCTTTTTTTAAAAAAAAAAGAAAGAAAGGCAAACTACGTGTGATCAGAATCACTCAGCTGGTCTCCTCCCTTTAAATCCTAGCTTTCCTCCATTGCTGGTGGGGGTGTAAACCTGTACAGCTGCTTTGGAAATCAGTATGGTGATTTCTCAGAAAATTAAGAAACAATCTACCTCAAGACTCAGCAATGCCGCTGTTGGGCATATACCCAAAGACACTCAATCATACCACAAGGACATGTGTTCAGTTGTGTTCATAGAAGCATTATTGGTAATAGCCAGAACCTGGAAGCAACCTAGATGCCCCTCAACTGAAGAATGGATAAAATGGTACATTTACACAATGGAGTACTACACAGTGGTAAAAAGTAATGACATCTTGAAATTTACAGGCAAATGGGTGGATCTAGAAAAAAAAAAACCATATTGAGCGAGGTAATCCAGACCCAGAAAGACAAATATAACATGTACTTACTCATAAGTGGCTTTTAGACATAAAGTAAGGATAAGCCAGTCTACAGGCCACAGCCCCAGAGAAACTAGACAACAAAGAGGACACTAGGAGAAACATGCATGGATCTCCATAGGAAGGTGAAAAAGACAAGATCTCCTGAGTAAATTGGGAACATGGGGGTCACAGGAGGGTAGAAGAGAAGAGGAGAGGAAGAGAGGGGAGGAGAGAAAAATGTATAGCTCAATAAAAACAGTAAAAAAATTAAATTTAAAAATATATAAATCCTAGTCTTTAAATTCTATGTTCTGTTGGGTCCGTTAAAAAAAAAAAACAACAACAACCATAAAAACTCATCTGCAAGGATGAGAAAAATTCTCTAATCTTCATCCTTAACTATTTTCCACAGGAAAATGTGTTTTCTTCCTTGTCTGTTTCTGTTTGTTTTTTTAAGACAGAGGTCTCACCATGTAGACAAGTCTTTCGCTCACAGAGATCCACCCTGCCCTGACTGGAATTAAAGGCATGTACCACCATGCTTGGCCCTTTTTAAGATTTTTTTAAAGGCAAGCTCACACGATGTAGTCAAGGCGGGCCTACAAGCTGCCATCCTCCTGCCTCAGCCTCCTGTGTGCTTATGCATTATTTCTTACACACCTTTCTAACCTCTTTTTAAAAAAATATTTATTTATTTATTTAGGATACAATATTCTGTTTGCATATATGCCTGCTAGAAGAGGGCACCAGACCTCATTACAGATGGTTGTGAGCCACCATGTAGTTGCTGGGAATTGAACTCGGGTCCTCTGGAAGAACACGCAATGCTCTTAACCGCTGAGCCATCTCTCCAGCCCCCCTTTCTAACCTCTTTAAACCAAACATCAGGAAGATGAAGCCTTTGCCACTTCTGCACTTCCCAGTCTTTAGGATCTCCATCTACACTTAATATAAATTATGGCTTCTCTGTTCGACACCTGTTCATGCATCAAGACTGACTTCTATGAAGCCTCCATTCCTCTGAGAGCAAAACTAGGGGTCCCTGGTGTGGTCTATTTCTCCATGAATGCTCTTGTTGTAGCAAGTCCCACACCACAGTAAAATTGCTTGGCTGCCTCATTCAAATAGGACTCCCTTGACTGAGGAATTTGCTTATAGTTACAGCATCCAGAACAAACCAGGCATGCAGCTGCTACTTGATAAAGGTTTGTAGAGTCCACACAAGGATGTTGGAGTATACAGATAGAGAAGGAGATGGGCGAATGGATGTGTCCACTGCCCCTCTTCTGCTGGCACCTCGATTCTGGCTTGAACCCAGGAATCTCACTCTCCCACCCTCTGCAAAGCTAGGTTCACAGAAGCCTAGACCCACTCACCTCTCAGGCAGAGAAGGAGCAGACCAGGGCCCAGCCACATGCTCTTTCCTTGCTCGGTGCTTGCTATCTCCAGAAAAATGCAGGTGGCCGCAGGAATCAAGATGTGTGTGGCAGAACCCTGGCACCCACCTCCTTGTTCAAGATTTCTCTGGGTTAGTCTCTCATCTACTTCTTCCTTGCTCTGAACTACTTCCCAATTTAACAAAAGGGGAAGATGGGCGAGAGCCGCTTCAGGGAAGGAACAGCTCCCCCTGCACTTTTGCACAGGTGCCACAGCTGAATCTTCAGGAAAGCCAGGTGCTGAGTGTGAAAACTCCAGCCCAGGAAATCCCTGTTTCTCCCACTCCACTTCTTAGTTAGTACACTTCCTCGCTCTTCGTAGCTTTCCTCTGCTACGGTGATGAGCTTTGGGGTCATGAGTGTCCCCCACTCAAAGAGCAGAGATGAACACTCTGCGTCTCTCTCAACAATCACTTGTGTGAAGTTGACTTCACACCTCCTCCTCCAGCCCAGCATCCTAATATCCCTCCAGACTCAACCTTCTGACTTCCTGCGGGCCAGCACTACTTACATTATCGTCGGGTGTTCATCTAATTCAGAATCAAGGTCGCCACCACTCAAGGTCCTGATTCCAGAGTCATGCCAACTCAAATCCTGCTTCCATCATTTTATAGCATTATTTATTTATCCACTGTGTGCACACATGCCACGGCGCGTGTTCTACTGTGTGCACACATGTCACAGTGCGTGTGTTCTACTGTGTGCACACATGCCATGGTGCGTGTGTTCTACTATGTCCACACATGCCACGGCGCGTGTGTGGAGATCAGAGGACAACATGAGGGAGTCAGTTCTCTCCTTCTACCACGTGGGGCTTGGAATCAAACTCAGGTCGCCAAGCTTGGCAGCAAGCACCTTCACCCACTGAGCTGGCCCCCATTTCTACTACGGACTAGCCGTGCGCCCTTGAGCTTGCTGTGGAGTCATTCTTCCCTCCAGCATCCTCCAGCGTCTTCGTCGGTGAAGCAGAACAAGCGTGGCAATTCTCTTGTTGTTACTTTTGCTTATTTGTTATTCTTGGGCAAGTCCGTGTGTACGAAGTGTATTTTATCCTCACATGCATTGCTCTCGCTCGACTTCCACCCCCATTAAATCCTTTTGTTCTTCTTGACAAGTTCCCCTCCCGTATTCATGGGGTTTGTTTGTGTTTTGCTCTGTGACCCATTGAGTTCAATAACAGTTGCCTGCATAAGCATGGGGTGGTAGGCTTTTTACTAGAGCGTAGACAAGTTCCCTCTTCCAGCAAAATAGTGATAATCCTTTTTAAAGAGTTATTCATTTTTATTTTGATGTATGTGTGCTTACCTGAATGTATGTCTGTGCACTACATGCAGGCTTGGTGCCCGGAAGGGACAGAAGAGGGCAAAGGATCTTCTGGAGATTTGTGAGCCACTGTAGATGTGCTAAAAAGGGATTTCAGGTCTCCCCACCAAGAAGGTCTAACCAGGGACTGGAGAGATGGCTCATCAGTTAAGTCCACTTGTTGCTCCTTTCAGAAGACAAGGGTTCAGTTCTCAGCACCATAAGGAAGCTCCCAAGTGTCTATAACTCCAGTTCTAGGGAGTCCAACACCTTCTTCTGGCCTCTGTGGGTACTAGACATGAATACATTGTACATACATCTACCTGCAGGCAAAACATTCATGCACATGAATAGAAACAAACAGATACTTAAAACAAACAAACAAGATCAAGCCAGTCTCCAGCTCTTTCCATTTGATGTGTGTGTGTAATTGTATGCTTTGCCTTACCTAATCTTATATCTAGAGATGTTTATTCAAACTAAAACACATTATATAAATGCCTGAAATTCTCAAAGAATAAATTAAAAATTTGGAAACAAAACCAAATAGTTTTAAAGCAAAAAACAAAACAACAACAACAAAAAAAAAACCACAAAGCCAAAATGGAAGCTTGGTGTGGTGGTGCATGCCTGTAATCCCAGCATTCACAAGATGAAGACTAAAATATTGCTGTAAATTTTAGGGTTAACCTGGGCTAGAGAAGTGAATTATGGGCCAACCTAAGATACATAGTAAAACCCTGTCTCAAAAAAAAGAAAAAAAAGCAATAAATAAATAACAATAAAGGAAATGGAATGTAGCAAAGGCAAATATTATTTAAAACCCACAAAATAAGCCTAATGTGATGTCATCTCATTGTACCCCAAATTCCATAGGCATCAGTAGGTTTGGTACCTAAGAGTTTGCCCCAGAGGATCATGGGAATTCTCCACAAATTGCAGACCTGGAGTTCTCATTTGCAGTGAGTCAAAGTCAGGAGTCGGATCTATAAAAGGAGTGGAAGGCTATGAACAAGAAACGGTGCCAGCGCCCCCCTCCTGTCGTCCCCTCTTCTCCGCCCCCCCATGGGGAAATGGCTTTGGGCTGTACACAGCCAGGGTGGGGAGGGGGAATCTAAAGTTACACAATGAGAAAGAAGCAAGCAGCTGCTAGGCAAGGACCAACAATTGAGCTCCCTGCTGCAAGCTGGGATCCTCTCAGGGTCACTGCAGCCACAGAACACTCAGTGAGGGGGCTCATGGCAGCGCTGAGGTATCTGGGGAGAGTCAGGAACCACTGGAGAGTCTCCCAGAACAGACATTTAGGGCCAGCGAGACAGCTCAGTGGGTAAAGGTACTAGCTGCTAAGCAAGGACATTAGTCCTTGCTCTGTTCCCAGAAAATACCGTCCTTGACGAGGGAGAACTGGAAGTAAATGGATCCTTATTACGGGGCTGTGAGATGGTTCAGTCAGTAAAGTGCTTATCACGGAGGGGTACCAGCGTTCAGATTCCCAGCACTGATGTAAAACGCAGCCGAGCGCAGCTGTTTGCCAATAATACTAGCAGCAGGAAGGGAGGCAGGAGGAGCCCTGAGACTTGCTGACCAGCCAGTTTAGCTGAATCAGTGAGCTCCAGATTCACTGAGAGACCATGTCACAAATAATAAGGTGGAGAGTAGCTGAGGACCTCCGCATGCACACATGTGCACACCCATATCCAGCCACCCTCGCCAGCTTTTCTGATTTGTTTTCTTCTATTATGGAAAGGCCATAGAGGACCAAAAGGGGGAGATATTTATAAATAGTGTTCAGGCCAGACATGTTAGCACATGTCTTTAACCCCAGAACTCAGACTCAGAAGGCTGAGGTATCTATCAGTTCAAGGACAGCTTGGTCAACGTAGCAAGTTACAGAACGGCCAAGATCACACTGAAATAACCTGACTCAAAATAAATAAATAGAAATACAGAGGCCGCCTAGGAGATAAAAAGATATACATAAGGTCTGGAGAGATGATTCAGTGGCCAACAGCACCGGCTACTCTTCCAGAGGACCCAAGGTCAGGTCAGCGCCCGTCTGCTGTGTGGCGTGTGTGCCGTGTGTGCCATGACAGCTCCGTATGACGAGCACCCAGTTATATCATTACATTTACCCTGGGCTTAGCCCATCCTCCATGCAAATGAAGTTTGACTATGTCTTTTCATGAAATACTAAAAGCCAAGAACTTCCATGGGGCAAGCCCGCCCTGTCTTTCCAGCCGCCAGCCTCCTGCCACCTACTTTGCCTGTTCTTTACACATGAGTTAATCCAACAGCTCTGCCTCCTTCTCTCCACTGAGATTCCCCAGCATTCGGAGCAGCTGGGATCTATCTGTCCAGTCTCACTGTGTATGGAGCTGAAGGCACAGTCTTGCTCTCAAGAGCTACACACACACACAACGCAACACACACACACACACACGCACACACCTGTATTGTCCCTGGACCTCTGGACAACCAGCCTGTCTGGAGGGCTTTCCTTGGGTTTTTGATGAGCAGAGATCCCCTGCCCACCTAGGACTGGGGCTGAAACTCTATACTCCCTTCAGTCTCACCCTCTCACGCCCTAGCGCAGCCCCACCCTCACAGGCTAGCTCCCCATCCCAGCTCAGGCCTCCCCCACTAGCCCAGCACCAACCTCCCGACACTGACCCACAACCAGCAGCGCCGCCCTGCCTCTCCTCTGTGAACACTGGGGCTGGGCCTCCTGCCAACTGGATGGAGTCACTCTTATTTTCTCCTCTGCACTAAGGTTTTGTTACTTCCTCATCTCGGAGTGGAAGTTACAGCTTCACAGAAACTGGAGGCAGAAAAACGACAGAAACATTGTGGTTTTGGGTCTCATAATAATTAGTACAGGGCTCCCAGTTTCTGCAGGGTGGCCCACAGCTTCCCCAAACAGACAAACCACATTCTCATGTATCACTGAGTCTTCAAATGCAGGACTGGAAATTTGACCCTCCATTGTAATTTCTTTCTCTTTTAAAAAGTGTGTGTGTGTGTGTGTGTGTGTAGTTCCTGCATAAGTCAGAAGAGGGCGTTGATTCCCCCAGAGTTGGGGTTACAGGCGGTTGTGAGCCTTTCAACATGGCTACTGGGAACTAAACTCAGGCCTCTGCAACAGCGGTATTTGCTGTTAACCACTGAGCCATCTCTCCACCTCCGCACCAGCAAATCTTGGCAAAACATTGCTGGCCCGGCCTGTGTAGCAAACATCATCTTTAACTGCACAACCTGTTGATGCACATTTTAGTTGGATTGCCACTGTGGGCACAAAGGCAAAGAGAAGGCAGTGTCAGTGAGCATCCTGGAAGCAGTCATAGAGCCACTCAAATGCATAGTCGAGGAAAACTTAATAAGAGTTAAGGAAAATGAGCAAGAGACAGAGAAACAAAAAAGCAGGACCAATGGGAGCAGGAAGCCCTTACCTCTCTGAAAGGAGCTCCGCAGGGGCTAAGCAGGGCTTCTTAGTCTTATGGGTTGGGGGTCACAACACAGAGCAAGCCAGAGCAGGGCCACCCTCAGAAATATTAGCAACAGGGAAGGCAAACTCATGGCCTGTGGAGGGACATGAGGACAGGAGGGAAGTGACTTGCTCTTTGCCCTCCTTTTTCTTCAGGGACCCCTAGGATCCCATCTCCACTCCAGGCAACACCAGCTGGAATGGCTGGCCCAAGGGGAACCATCAGGAAGATCTCCCGGGTGGGAAGGGCGCTGAGAGTGGACTTTGGAGCCAGAGACACCTCCACGTCAAAGACATC